ACGCCAAGGTTTCTTCCAGGAGGTCTCAGCTTTCGGAGTCCATTTTGGTTCTTTTCCTAATACTAAAAAAGTTGAAAGCTCTGCTGATTGGGGAGGTGGAGGGAGAACTATATTAGACCTTTGGGGCTTGGAAATATTTCTGGGCTGAGGTTATAGGTTTATGGAATGGAGTTCCCTCCCCTTGGGTCTTTGGGTTCCTGGTGACCATGGCATTGCCAGCTGCCACCTCACTGCTGGGCAACCTGGCTTCTGAGAGGACACAGAGGGGAGGCGAGTCAGGCTGCAGGGATATTAGGATCAGGGGACTCATGATGAGGAAAGCCATGGGGGAGGATAATGAAGAGGAAGGAGGACCGAGGTACCAAGTGTCAGTCTTTTAGCAGAAGTGGAAAGATGCTGTCGATTATGATTAGGAGTCAGAGCTTGTAAAGACTGACTCACAGGCCTAAGTGTACATTAGGCAGATGTCAGGGTGTTACTCCACAAGGGCAGAGAGTCCCAGGGATGCTGTAAAAGCCCTTTTAAGGGGCCCCTCCCACCTATTAATATTCTGTAGTCTCCCTTTAGAGAGCCTGTGACATCTTACCCTGTGATTTCCAATTGTGAGCTCACCCGACCACCGTGAGCAGCCAGGTGCAAACTTAAATCCGAGGACCATGAACAGGATTTATAGCACAGGAACTATAGGCACAGGGGCTGCCTTCTGGCCAGTGGCCAAGTACTCCTGGCTTCTCCCGTTGGAGTCAGGATGCTTTGCAATCTGTGGTCAGCAGCCTAAGGAGGCCACTCCTGGGATATTGAGGCCTCAGATATTTTTGAAGAAACCTGAAAGCAGGTTTTCATGTTTAGGAGAGAGGCGAAGGCAGTTCTGCAACGAGTGAGTAGCATAGGTTATGTTTGGTCATTTATTGCCCTTTCATTTCCATTTTTATATTTGTTTGCTTCTTTTTGACCTGTGACACCTCAGTGTATTTTGTTTTAGTTCCTTGGCTTCTTTGCCATAGACCCAACATTTCCAATACTGTACAAATAATTAAAATCAAATATTGTCTCTCTTCTGTAAGGAAAAAAAGAGCCATGTATTTTTCACCGAGCAAATGGCTACCACGTTTACCGTGACGCTGCCTGCATTTCAGAACACCTGTTTCCTTCAACTCAAGTAATGGGAAGAAAATGAACACTTTGAATTCTACAGTGGATTTGTGGAAAAGTTTCTAATTCCACAATGCTGAATTGTTAAAATGGCGCGGCATGTGAATGATTTCATGTCACTAATACAAAATGAAAATCCTCACGAGCAATTGCTTTTCCTAATTCTGTTTGATTTTCTGAGAGCAGACACCATTATTCAAAGCACATATGAAATCATGCACCTGGGCATTTAAATTTGAGCTTGAGACTCCTGCAGGCCTGAGCTTGAAAACCGAGGTTTTGAGGAATTAGCATTTTCCCAGCAGTAGGTTTAATAACCCTGAAGAAGGGTTCGTGAAGCCTACTGTCCGCCACAGAGCTCGGTTCTTTCAAAGTGTCACATTGGGGAATTTGATCTTATTATGGAGAGTTCTATTCTACTGACAAGGTATTTGAAAATTGTAATAGATATAGAAAACTAATCATGTGTTGTGAGATGATTTGTAAGGTTTCTGTTAAACGTTTTTCTTTTGGTTTATGCTATTTGTCAGGCATTGCAAATAAGCAGTGAGTGCTAAAGGCCCCAAGAAATACCTTGCTGTGGAAAAATAAAATTCAATCTGTGTGAAATCTAGAAAGAAAAGTTCCTTCCATTCTATGCTCTTTCTTATGCATCATTCATTCATCCATTCATTCTTTATTTGAATTTCACTGTTGCTTTCTATGCGAGGTGCAATGTTCATGGCTCATGATGGCACTTGTCAGAATTTGGAGGGACACACTGAGCATCTTTCTCTGACATTTCTTTTCTTCTCATTGTAGGATCATGTGTCCATGTGCCCATGTGTTTGTGTGATCAGCGTCCTAGTAGGGGAAATAGAACCTGTAGTGTGCTGGAGGGCAGAGGAAGGCAAGAGGGCACTGCCACTGAGCCCTGCCACTGTGCCATCTAGCTGTGACCCCACACTGGACAAGGTTGTGTTTCCTTCAGGCACTTTGAACCAATCTTCAGCTATTAAGGGGCATAATCATCAGAGTGCCTGGATTTTCTAGAATCCTTGCTTCAACTATTTGCTTTGAAGTGCCATTGGGAATTCTAGCCATGTACTTTTTATGTACTTTTGTATTTATCACCCATCTATTCACTGAACAAGTATTTACTGAGTACCGGCTATGTGCCAGGTGTGCTCTAGGTGCTGAAGATACAGCAATGGAAAACGAATCATAGATGTCATCCTTCAAGCTACAGAGATACTGGGTTGGTGGGAAGAAAGACAATGAATCAAGAATAAGACAAATATATAATCACAAACAGTGGGAGGGATTATGGCAGGGAACCTGTCTTAGAAGGTGGGGATAAGGGATGGTCTCTCTGGAAGTGACATTTGTGCTGAGACCTGAAGGATCCGTGCGTGTTGGCCAGGCAAAGAGCTGGGTGCAAGAAGGTTCTGAGTAGAAGGGACAGCATGTGGGAAGACCCCAAGTTATGGCGAATAAAGGATCAAGGTGGTCTCCAGGAGTAACCTTTAGCCAATGGTGATGGAGTGGGAAGATAAATGTCCCAGCTCCCTCACCCCTCTGGTGGCATAACCCTGTGGCAGTCGTAATCTCTTCTCCTGCAGGATTGAAATCAGTTGTCCACAATGGTAACTTGTTCATAAATACGTCATGCATTGGTTTGCTTCTCTTCCTCATATCACTCTCCCACTCCCCTCCCAGTACTTCCTGGGGTCACCTGGAAATTGAATTACTTGCCCTTGAATCCTTGTCCCCTGGTCTGCTCCTGGGGGAGCCCACGGCAAGCCACTGAGGGAGGAGGCAGCTGAAAAGCAGGCAGAAGTCAGAGCATGGCGGGCTGGAGCTCTCAAAGCTTGGTCCACTGAGCCCCAGTGTTGCCTGAGACGCTTTCAGGGAGTATGAGAAGTCAAATTGATTTTTGTATAGTACTACTAAGATGGTATTTTTTTTTTTTCACCATTTTGACATTTCACTGTCAAAATGCAAAACAAGGGAAGGTAAAAATGATGGGACTTTAGTCCCAACTAAGGCTGTACTGGGAGTCATTGTATTCTTTCCCACCTGCATTTGCAGGAAAAAAATGCCAGTTGCACTTAAGAATGTCCTTGATGAAATTGTAAAAATGATTACTTTTTATTAAATTTCTTGTCTTGCATATGCTTAGAAAAAGTTCTGAATAATGAGATGGGAAGTGAGTACACGCTGTGCTGCATAGGAAGCTCCGGTGGGTTTGTCAGGGAAAAGCACTTGAGCTACGCGCTGCGCCAGCCTCTTTCTTCACGGAACGCGATCTTCATTTGAAAGTGTGACCGGCGGACAATCAAACTACGATCATTCAGACTTGGATACCTGCCAGATATTTTCTCAAACATGAACAAAGTGAGCCTGTCTCTTTAGTAAATGCAACAGATATTATTTGTTGCCAATAATAAAATTTGAGTTTCCAAATGAAAACTAGAATTTTGGAAAACTAGTATCTGTCATGGTTAGCTTGATACTTTCCTTTCACTTAAAGAATTTTCTGATGGGGTGGTGGTGATATTAACAAATAAGATTTTTTGATACTGTAGAAGTACACTGTGACAGCATTTGGAAGATCTGCCTAACTCAGTGAAACAGTATTTTCCAGACGACCAACACATGATGATGTAAAATCATGTATGTGACAGGCCCATTCAAAGGACAAGATTCTCCAGTGGATTTTAATGTAATTGAGTCTGAAAATGATACTGATATGGTTTCAGATTGCACATTGCAACTAACCTTTAAGAAACAACCATATGCTGAGATTTGGTGTAGCGTCAAAAAAGAATATTCACAATTATCTGAAAGGCCTATTAAACACTCCTCCCTTTCCTACTGCATATCTGTGAGCTCAGGTTTTCCTTAGATCTATCAACATAACTTATCCCAACAGATTGAATGCAGACATGCCAATCCAGTTGCTTTCTGTTAAGTCAGACACTAAAGAGATTTGCAGAAATGCGAAACAATTCTATTTTTTTGTTTACTAGAAATTGTTTTGAAAAATAGATTTCATAAATATGTTATTCGTATTAATAATAATTATTGTTTAAATCATAAAAATTATTAAATTAAAAATGTTTTTCAAATTTAAAAATGAATTCATAATTAGAAATAAAACGTTCTCAGTTTAAATTTCTAATATGGTAAATGTTAATAGATATAACCTACATACACAAAAAACTTTGAGGTCCTCAATATCTTTTATGAGTGTAAAGAAGTTCTGCGATTAAAAAGCTTGAGAACTGCGGATGCAAAACTTCAGGGTTTCAGGGTTTTAGGTATTCCCACCAATGCAGTGAGGAGCCGCTGAAGAGTTTTAAGCAGGTGAGTTCCAAGCCGAAGTAGATCTTAAAAAGATCATTAACCTTGCATGTGTGTTAGTTGAGTGATTAAAATATGTTAACAACTTCTGCAGCTATGGAAGACTAGCGGAGCCTAAGGGGGCATTTTCAGTCTGTTCCAACAATCCCTGCTGGAAAGAAACACCTACGCCACTGCTCTCTCCAGCAGATGCACCCAGGGGTCGAGCCCCATGGTAGGTGGGGTTTCCTTTCTCGGTCTTCAATGAACTCTGTGCAAGTCATCTGAGGTGTACAGAAAGCATTTAGTTAGTCACGAGCCAATTAACAAATACCCACAAGGTCCGTTGTGGTGTCTGAACTGGTGGAGATTAGACAAAATCCTCACCCTTGACAAGTCTAGGCTCTAAGAGGTGAGAACCAACTCTGCTTTCTGGAGGTGAGTGAACGCCACCCTCCTCTCCTCCTGCCTCGCCTGTGACCTCATAATCCTGTATTCCTTAAAATTTCTCCTGACCCGGGCGCCAGTTCTCGCTCTGGTCGGCGGGCAAACGAAACTTCACAAAAGATGTCTGAGCAACAACCAACTCAGTTTATAAATCCAGAAACTCCTGGCTATGTTGGATTTGCAAATCTTCCTAATCAAGTCCACCGAAAATCAGTGAAAAAGGGTTTTGAGTCCACACTAATGGTGATCGGTGAATCGGGTCTAGGAAAATCGTCTCTCATAAATAGCCTATTCCTGACTGATCTCTACCCAGAAAGAATCCTACCTGGAGCCGCAGAGAAAATAGAAAGAACCGTCCAAATTGAAGCTTCAACTGTTGAGATTGAAGAGCAGGGGGTCAAGCTGCGACTGACGGTGGTGGACACCCCCGGCTATGGTGACGCCATTAACTGCAGGGATTGTTTTAAGACGATTATCTCCTACATTGATGAGCAGTTTGAACGGTACCTGCACGATGAGAGTGGCTTGAACAGGTGGCACATCATCGACAACAGGGTGCATTGCTGCTTTTATTTCCTGTCGCCTTTTGGCCACGGACTTAAACCCTTGGATGTTGCATTTATGAAGGCAATACACAACAAGGTGAATATCGTGCCTGTCATTGCAAAAGCCGACACTCTCACTCTGAAGGAGCGGGAGCGACTGAAGGAAAGGATTCTGGATGAAATTGAAGAACATAACATCAAAATCTATCACTTACCTGATGCAGAATCAGATGAAGATGAAGATTTTAAAGAGCAGACTAGGTGCCTCAAGGCCAGTATCCCATTCTCTGTGGTTGGATCCAGTCAGCTGATTGAAGCCAAAGGGAGGAAGGTCAGAGGCCGCCTCTACCCCTGGGGTGTTGTAGAGGTGGAGAACCCCGAGCACAACGACTGCCTGAAGCCGAGGACAATGCTCATCACCCACATGCAGGACCTCCAGGAGGTGACCCAGGACCTGCACTACGAAAACTTCCATTCCAAGAGGTTCAGGAGAGGCGGCTGCAAAGTGGAGAGCGAGGACATGAATAAAGACCAGATCTTGCTGGAAAAGGAAGCTGAGCTCCGCTGCATGCAAGAGATGATCGCCAGGATGCAGGCGCAGATGCAGATGCAGATGCAGGGCGGAGACGGCGACAGCGAGGCGCTCGGGCACCACGTGTGAGGCGACGTGAGCCTGTTGAAAACACTTTCCTGGTTAAAAAGAAAACATTCCAGACGGTAATATAGCTGCGTGTTTTCACGAGATCGTTGGAAGGCTACCCATCCACATTTTGCAGAACCTGTGCCTGAGAATTTAATTTTTTTTTTAACTTTTGATGTGTTTTGTGTGTGTGTGTGTGTGTGTGTGTGTGTGTGTGAAGTGCTTTTAGCATTTGTATTTCATTGCTGTTACACTTTATATTTTGTGAGGTGAACTTTCATTTTTATTTTCTTCTTCTTAAACCCTAATGTTAGAACTGATTTTTAAGAATCAGCATGTATAGTTAATACTGAATTTCTTTATTTAGCTGATCTAACTGACTAACCATTGGTGAGCACTCTTGATTCATATCTAGAACATTCAGATTTACCCAGAATGCTCCTGAGTGGTGGAGACGTGTGCCTCGAGCTAGGGAAAGATGTGCTGACCAGGGGCAAGGCTGTTCGCTTACCAAGTCACGCGCTGCGGAGACTTAACTTCCTTGCTTCTCTGTGCATGAGAGTCAGTGAACTATTTTTACTCAACTAAATTTTAAAAATATTTTTTTTAAGGAAAATTAGAAATTGACCTGTTCTGAAACCAACTTTTTTATATTTTATACTGCACGTTAGTGTATTTTCTATAACTGTGGGTGTCGAAAATCCGCCTCAACTGTGGAGATTGGGGTCCTTTGGCTGACGGGCCCATGAACCCCCCAGCTTATCATAGAGCAGTGTTTCTGCCCTAACTCAGCTCCATGAAGCCCGGAGGCCCACCAGGTTTTCTTGATTTGGGTTTCTTTTAACTATTCACTTTTCGAATGTTTTTCTGATGGGAGGAAAAATAGCAGTGATCACTTTTTTATGTGCAGAGTGTCTCTTCTATTTTTCAACCATCGTCACTTCCTCTGTTTTGTGTAATACAAATTTCTCCATGTGCCATGTAAAAGCGAAAGGTGTTTCAGATCTGCAGTGTAGGCTGGTCAGCAGGTGCACACAGTTGAAGCCACACCTGGTTTGTTTTCTGTGCACCACGGCCTTGGCCCTCACCTTTTCTTCCGGTGTCTCCTGTGGTACACTTTCATCATTTCTACTCACGCTGGGAAATTTGAAGCCTGAAAGTGACATATGAACGGACACAACGGTCATGGAGGGAGTGTAACCGGGTCAGTGTTTTCATTTTACTACAGTAGGAGGAACTGAGATGGAAAAAAAGCTTAATCTGAGGATGAGACAGGTTTTTTTGTTTTGGCCAGAGAAAAGATAAAATGAAACGATCAAATAATCTCAGCTATGAAGGTGTACTACAGAAAATAATCTGGGGCTCTTGCTGGCTTTGCCTCCTCACTGTTGCATAATTGTGGATGATCAAAAGCTATATGCTGAGGCTCACTGAGTTTTTCCCCAAGAAAAAGTATTGCATGATTTTAGAGTACATCTATGCACAGTCAATTATTTGGGTTTTTGACATTTAATTACTTTGCTAGAAAAAGCTGTAAAAACAAAAAACATCTGCAAGTGATCGATATATGTCCTGTGTACGTTTGAGTAAAAGTACTGTTTAGGGCAAGGTGCCACCTCGTGATCGTTGTGCAGGGTGGGAGGGCACACACTGTTACACTTCTAAGTCCCCTTTTGTTTTGCTACTCAAATTAAATACATGCTTTTGCTAACAGAATTGCTTTTACGAAGAGATAATCTCTACCTATAAAAATGTATTTTGAAAACACTTATTTTACACAGCAATTTCGTATCCATTTAAACTAACCTTCTATCAATAAAGCACTATTGTTTAGATATTAAAAAAAAAAAATTTCTCCTGACCTTACTCTTTGCTTTGGAGGGTGGGATCCTCTTGAGCCAAGGGGAAGTGATAAGGAAGATTGACATGGGGGAAGCAGGCAGGAAATAGAGAAGGAAATGAGCAAGGCATTTTCCCTGAAGCGTCATTTTCAATGTGCAAGGAGTGCAATCGTTCAAGTTCCTAAACTTGCCTGGCTGCTCTGACTCCAGGGGGTTCCTTGTAAGTTTAGAAAACAGCGCGTAATGGGGTGAGCAGGGAAGTGAGCATTTGTCTCGCTAAGTGGAGGTCAGTGTCGCTGCAGTTCCTCCAGGCAGGAGTGGGAAAATAGAGGGCATTGTTGTAATGTGGCCAATGTCACGCTGAAGTGAATGCTAACTTTCTGGATTACAGCATGGCCGAGCGACAAAGAATGTGCACATCAGCGTGAAACCACCGCACACAGAGCTGAGCCCTCAACAGCATAAACAGAACCCACAGGCCTTTGCAACACAGCCGTCTCCTACCTATGGCCGGGATGCTTTGTACCTGCAAGGGGTCCTCCAGCCTTGCCTCCTTTCAGGGGGCTAGAGGGCCCCTCTTGAATGATTCAATCCCTTTCAGCATTGTGTTTCAAAACCCTTTCAGGGATAAGAAACAGGCTGATTCTTTCTGCATGTGGTTAGCAGAATGGGAAGCAAATGTGTGTCCATGTTCCCCAGGAAGGATCGTGGGCATGGTGCCTGAAAGGCCGGGGCTCTCTCCTCCTGGAGAGCTGTTTGTCTCGCAGGGCTGGACGTCCTGGGGAAGTTTTGCTGGAAACACAGAACTCAAACACCTGTCTGTGGGAAGTTGCCACCTCCAGCTCGGATGTGGTGTGGACGTCGTCAGCCCTGGAGCTGTTTTCTGTCTCTCTTCCAGGAGCAGTGCTGACCTTGTGGCGTGATCTTGCAGAACTGGCATCAAAGTGGAAACGTGAAGCCACCAGTGTATTTTTTTTGAGATTTGTTCCTTTCTCTGTGATCCCCTTGCAAAAGGGGGAAAGTCCCTAGTGAGCTATTTTGTGTTTGAGTTTGCTCCTTCCTCTACTTTCCAGGCTTCATTATGTAACAATTTGCACTGGCTTTAGTGGTATCTACAATACAGACAATTTTTGGAAAATTATCTGGTTTTGGAGATTTGCAAATTACTTAGAAGAGTTTCTCCAAAGCAAAAAGTATTCCGTTGGTGCAAGCCCTTTACTGTCCTCATGTGAGGGGATTAGCCAGAACAATGACTCCTGCTCCTTTTTCTCTGTCTGGTTGTCTGATTCTACCTCTGGAAATGTACTCAAAGCTATTTCATCCCCTCCTCTTACCGGTGCAGCCCAGTTGCAGGTCCTCATCACCCACCCTCTGTATAATTTCTACAGCATCCTCGCTGATCTAGTCTCCCGAATTGTTCCTCTCTAATCCGTTGTCTCCACGACAGCTGCTTCCTGTTGCCTGAAGGGTAAAGTCTGGGGACTCCTGAACGTGGAGGTCATAGAGAGCACTGTGGATGCTCGCCAGATGTCCACGTGCTCCTCTGCACTTCCCGCTTCCCTTGCAGCCAGGCTGGGCCCATGTGACCAGGTTTTGGTCCATAGGACATGGACAAAAGTGATGGAAGCCACTTCCAGTCCTGGCCCTTGAAAATGTCCTGTGGTATCACCCAGCTTTCTCTTGTCCTGCCATGGTGACCTTGTAGGCTATGGGTGTGTTTTATAGGTTAAACAGTGTCCCCTTAAAAGCTACATTGAAATCCCAATTCCTTGTACCTTTGCGTGTGGCATTATTTGGAAATACAGTCTTTGCAGAGGTAATCAGGTCAAAATGAGGTCATGAGGGTGGGCCCTGATATCTTCATAAGAAGAGGAAAATTTGGACATGGACAGACGCAGAGGGAAGAAGGCCATGTGAAGATGGAGGCAGAGATTGGAGTGATGTTGCCAGAAGCCAAGGAACAGCTGGGGCTACCAGAAGCCAAAAGAGGCAAGGAACGCTCCTTGCCTAGAGATTATGGAGGGAGGAGGTTGCCTGCTTGTCAGGCTTTCTGTGAGTGAGAAACAAAGCTTTACTGAGTTAGCCGCAGACATCTAAGAATTGAGTTGTTACTGCAGCGCACCTGGCCCATGCTGATGAATACAGTATTAAATGCGTTCATGAGTAAGCCCCCACTACCTTGTGAGCATCCTCTCTTTGTCACCCTGTTCTCCAGTAATATATAATACTTTACACCACTGGGATTTGTTGGGGGTTGAAATTTCTTCCTAGAATGTTTTTTCTTTCCCTTTGTTTTAAAATCAAGAGAAATCATATCCTGTTAAAGCCCCCCAGCTCTAATGTCACTTTCTCTGAAAAGACTTTCTCCCTGTCCCTTGTCCTTGCAGCACGTTACCTATGCTTCCACCAAAATTCACAGTTACTAGTTGTACCACACTAGGATCTCTTTTCTGTGTGTATGTATCTTGCCAGAAAGTTAGCAGTTTGAAGCCAATGGTAGCACCTTTTATTTTTAGATCTCCAGCTTCTAGCATAATGTTTAATTCGTAGTATGAGATTAAAGGCATTTGTGAAATTAATTCTAAGAGGAACTTTTGCTAGCCTGGCTCTGGGAAGGCTGGGGCGTGAGATACACCCTTGTCCATGTGCCATCTGTAATGCCCAAGACATGCCTCGGCCTCCCCAGCCATGGGAGTTCACAACGATGGTCAGCCGCTGCTGCCACGAACACGTTCCGCAGCTGGTCTGTTACAAGAAGGCCTGGTGGCTCTCTGAGATCTTCACTGCAGTCTAGTTCTTACCTGGCTCAAGTGGCTGAAACATCTGAGGACCCCCGTGTCTGTTTTGTGTGTGCACGTGTGTGACTGCTGTTGGGGGGTCTCTAAGGGATGCTGTGGCCAGAGGTCTGTCATTGCCTTTCCGGGGTACCAGTCAGGCAACAGGCCGGGAGTTCCGACTGGAGTCTTCTATTTCTTACAAACTTTCGAAGAGTTAAAAACATGCATAAAAGTAAAGATAAAAACATAAATCAGTGTACATACTATTCATCCAGAATTAATGAATGGTAACATTGTTGATTTTGCTTTGTACTTTTTTAAAAAATATAGACCATTGTGGATAACGCTGATGTTTCCATTTGTTCCCCCTTCGTGGTTCTCCTGGCCTATCTGCCCCCATCAGAAATCACCACCTTCCTAAGTTTATGTTCTCACAGTTTTTTTTAATACTTCACAGACACAAAAGCCACACGTAAATATGTAGTTTTACTTTGTGTTTACGATTAAGTAAATGGTGTAATAGGATATGCACCTTCCTAAAACT